TTTAATAAAAGATAAGAATAGTGTTAAATCCATTAGAGGAATAAATTTACAATACAGTAAGTGCCAGTCATCTAGATTATTCTTTGTAACAATTTGATCACATCTTAATTTTGTATAATTTTGTATAATTTAAAGCCTATTTGTGTCTGGTTAGAGGGAAATAATTTTTTCTTGTTTTTAATCTCTAAAAAGATACTGTTTTATCAAGACTAAGAGTGGAATTTTTGGCTTTTTCTACAAATGTATCTCTCAAGTAAGATTTGTTTCTGAAGGTTAAAACAATACCAAATGATTCTGTATTTTTTAATCCAAATGAAATTATTATATGAAACACGTATATAATTTAAAATCCATTGTATTTGAGTTGAGTTACTTACCATCATTTAAAGAATGCCTAGTATGTGCTAAGTACTTTGCCAGGTGCTGTAATACTCGACAAAGACGAGTAGACATAGGTTTTGCTCTGATTTGGTTTTTAAACAAGGCATACATACTTTCATGTGTTTATAACTAGAATGAAAAAAAACATAGTAATCATGATTATATAGTCTAAAAGTAATTTTTTATTACTTGGCATTTGGATTTTAGAGTAAAACTTATTACATCTTATGATGAAGAATCCCCTCCTCTTTGGTTTACCCTCTTTAATAAATACCTCAGGTTAATAAATATTATCTAAAATGATCTCATTTATGTCTCTACTGTTAATGCAGACAATCCCTGTTGTTTGGAATTGTTTTGAATTCCTTAACGCTTTTTTATGTTTCATAAAAATTTCTCCAAAGGTTTTGCTCAGTAATATTTCTGCTCACCTCTGGGCTCCCAATTGTGCTTCAGTCTGCTTTTTTGCAGAATCAACAGCAAAGCTTAATATTGGCCATCTCCTCCAGCCGCTTTCTAGTGGGCAGAGGTGCCCTAGGCAAGGTAGTGGTCAGTCTTTTTTAAGATTCCACCTTATCTTGATGCCAATAAACATTTAAATCGAATAACTGTTCTCTTTGTTTTGAAGCCATGCTCACCAGGCAATTCTGATCCTTGCTTGCCTACAAGTATAGAATGCATTTGCCACAAATGCAAGTGTCTGTTCCTTGATACTCGATTTCATGGTGTGTAAATCAGTAAATTGCCGTTCTGATTTTCATATATTAGTCTCACGTGAACTTTGTTAGGGTTAAGAGCTTTCAGAATTTGATTTCCCCAAGACACTGGTGGCTGCAAGACAGCCTTGCACCTTGGCAGACTGAGCAGGGAAGCCTGTTCTACAAGGCCCCTTGGCAGCTAGCCAGCTCCCTGCAAGGCCACACCTTGAGTTCAACATACATCTTTCTTTCTGACTTCTACAAGCATTACTTGTGAACCACGTAACTCTGTATATGTTGTGTTATTAAATTAACTGATGTGTTATTTCTTTGTGCATTTTTCAAGCAGCATTATAAAAAGTTTTGTTTTTTTACTGTTCGCTTTTGGAAAGGAATATATAGGCCTTGGACAACTACAGTTGGGTTTTGACCTTTTCTTTCTCTTAGGAACTGGCAAACCACTTTGAAAATTCTCTTATCTACAGATCTGGACATTTCCCTGTTCATTAGTACCTGCCTGCTAGAAGAAGAAAGGCAGGGCAAATCAGAAAGCATTCTAAAATCCTTAGGTATTGCTCTTTGTTGGAGCTTTTAAATCTTTTCCCCCTAAATGTTTGTTGAAAATGTAAGAGGCATTTGTTTACTGAAGAGTGTTTGAGGAGAAGTATCTGTGAACTTAAATTTTATATTTGTGAAGGAGGTTCCCTAGAATGCTACTGCAAATTGTATACCTATTCTGCCTTTGAGGATTTAGGATGCATATTAGCATATTAAAGATGCTGGAAAGTGTTATGATAAGAAACTTGTTTAACTTTGTATAATCTGGTTTTCTTAAATTTACTTGAATTCCTCAACTTCCAGTCCGTTTTCCTCTTCCCATCCCCACATCCCAAACAACACACACGATTTGGGGATGGAAGAGGAAGGTTTGCTCTGTACCATCGCTGTTCCACTTTTCCTTCTTTAACTTTTCTGTATCTGATCCTGAAACACAGAACATGAGCCCAGTGATTCCGAGACTTTCAAAAATGGTTTGGCAGCATTGCGTTAGATACCATTCCTGTAAGAGCAGCATAGTCCTTAAAAATCACTTGGCCTTGATAATTCTTGAGATTATTTTTATGTCTTTCTAAAAATAATACTCATTATTATTAAAGCATTGGCACATTAAAAAAAATGAAACTAGATACCTAAAATAATATTTATATTTGTATATCCCATTGTGGAGTTTTTTAAGTGTGCTTTGTACATATGAGAGGTCTTCAAAAAGTTCATGGAAGGATTTGTATTATCTTTTAATTCAGTTTTTCCACAGACTTTTTGAAGGACCCTCATATTATCTCAGATGACCTTAGACTAGGCCTGTGAATTAGGCAGAGCAAATATTATGATCCCTGTCTGTGGGAAAAGTGACTTGAGTTCAGTGTTCTGGTGATTTGACAAAGACCATAAGATCAATTAGCAGCAGGGTAGGGATTAGATCTCTGAATTTCTGACTCCTATCTTCAATAATTTCTTTTTCCACAGTTGTTTATTAGTTAGCCTTTATAAAGTACTTTACTTATTGCTGATTCATCCAGTTCTCCCTGCAGCCCCCATTTGATAGGTTGTCTCATTCATTCATTAAAGACTACTCTGTGTGAGATATAGTGCTTGTGGTGAATGTTCAAAATGAATCAGGAAGAGTTCTTACCCAGAGGTGCTCCTAGTTTAATGGGATAGGCAAATAGAGTGACAAGCCCAGTACCTGAGATACATGGTTGCAAATGTTAGAAAACACCCATGAAAGAATGACAAGTGTGCTGTGTGAGATATAGTGCTTGTGGTGAATGTTCAAAATGAATCAGGAAGAGTTCTTACCCAGAGGTGCTCCTAGTTTAGTGGGATAGGCAAATAGAGTGACAAGCACCAGTACCTGAGATACATGGTTGCAAATGTTAGAAAACACCCATGAAAGAATGACAAGTGTGATGTCTCTTCCGGTAGAGAATGTTAGAGAAATCACCACAGTGAGACTTCAGCTAAACTGGGCCATAAAGGATCAGCAGCATTCCTCCTGCAAACAAGAGTGTGCAGGATATACCTGGTTCAGGACAGGTCATGTGAGGGCTTGGGGACATGAAAGAGACAGGTATGTTGGGAAAAGAGTGAGCGGTGAGGAAGAGCAGCACATAAGGCTAGAAAGGCAAGTGGAGTTGGCGTCCTGACTCCACAGCTCGCTAGCTAAGTGACTTTCCCAAGCTTCCGTTCCCTACTTTATAGGACTGTCGTGAGGATGAAATGCAGTCAGGCATTGTAAGTACCACTGTCTTAAATCCTCAGGAGAAAAAAAGGGGGAAATCAATTAATAAAATGTCGTGAAGTTCCTGATATATACCTGCACCCAGAGCATGTGACTTGTCCTTGTTCATCATGCTAAGCTAATTTGACTTGCTGTAGGCAATGAGAAGCCATGAATCATTTTTAAACAAATGACATGATCAGCTTTTTGTTATGAAAAGACTTAAAGTAGTCAGCAGAGGAACAAGTTTATGATGTCAGAACAGTAGATTCCATTTTAGATGTAATGAGTTTGAGGCTCAAGCAGTACATTGAGGTACGACCCCAGTAAGACAACAGTGGAACTGGGAGTCTGCCATAGTTAAATTGTTTACTTTCAACCTATGCTTGGCATACTTGACACTGAAGAACAAGAAAGGTCTTTTGGTTCATTCCATCATCCGAGAATCTAGTCCAGTTCAGGTCCACGTCCAGGGGTCTGTATCATCATGTAATTAAGGCAAAGTGGGTATTGGGGGGGTAGGTGGCAGGTTTGGGGGAATACTTTTCAGTTAAGAATACAACTTTGGACGTCACTCTAGGAAAGCTGGATTTTCTCTGGAATGGTCTGTTATGACCCTCATCCAGATAAGCAAAAGCCTCTTTAATGTATAAACTATTGTGGTCTTGGTCACATGTGGCCTGTGGTAGGCAAGTCTCTTAGGGTCAGTGCCCACCTACAGCAGCCACCAGAGTTCAATCCATCCGCTATGAAGTAGCCATTTTGCTATGTTCCTTATTTTATCTAATTGTCCAAACTGTCTTCTTCAAACCAGTACTTTGGCTGGCCCAATGGTTTTCAAATGTTGGCATCAAATGCCTTTAAAGAGACATTGTCCCATTAAGGCCGCAAAACTTTCCTATTGTTAGCTGGCTTGATTCATACATTGGTGTTTTCTGTCTGCTTCCTAGAGGCGTTTGAGTTTCATTTGAAAATGGAATGGATCTCACAGTCCGGAAAAGTATACTACATGTTGTTATAGCACTATCTGGAATGACACAGAATTCAGAATGAAATGGGGCAGCAATAAACCCTATCCAAAGGGACCTGTTTCTAAAAGTAATTTTCCCCTAAAACATACATCTTTAAGAATTGCTGTAGATTGATGTTTATATACGTATTTGATACAACACTTGATGTTCCATAGAATGTATAGGGCAGAAGCTACCTCTTACTATTTAACTAAACTTCATTAACTCTTAGGAGACTTACATTTATCAGGGATATACCTGTTAGCAAAATCTTACAGATTTTATTTAGTAATCAATAAAACAATAACAAAATAGATTGAACCTTTCTTGTTTTGAATGCTTGCTGAATACGACCTTTTATATATGTGTCTGTATTATGTGTAGATGGCTACTGGTACTTCTTTACTGTAATTCACTCTTACTTTTGCCAGTACAAAATTAATTTCTCTTGTTTTGGGAATAGTGCATTTTTTTCCTTCTTTATCAGCTTTGTATTATTTATAATGTGAAAGACTTGGATGTGTTAACTCTTAGGGTAGAATTTTTCTTAGTTGATATTAAACATTTCCAGAGTTTGTTATAAGAGAAAGTTTTTTCTACTGAATAATTGGTTTTTATATGTTGTTTCAGTTTCTATTACTATGGCAATGACGGCAGGTACTACAACAACTTTTCCTATGAGCAACCATACCAGGGAAAGAGTGACTGTAGCCAAGCTCACACTGGAGAATTTTTACAGCAACCTAATTTTGCAGCATGAAGAGAGAGAAACCAGGTATAGTAAAGGCTAGTCAAAATTTTGTTTGTAAAATTAGCTGTTATGCTGCGAGTGGAGTGTAAGTGTAGATTTCTGAATTATTCCAAGTCTTGTGCACCCATATACTTATATCACATGTCAAATGATGTTTTTAACAAACTTTCCCACCTAAGAAATTATGATATATCTTTATACTTTCTTTTAGAAGGATGCTTTATTAAATACTGACTTAGGTCCAAAAACATTTACAGTGTTATGTGTGTATCAGTGGGAATGGAAGAAGAAAAAATGAGTGACATGTTATTTTGCCTTCAGGAAACATAATAGTAAGAGAGATAATGCACATAAATATAACATGAAAGAGTAAAGAGCGTCACTAAGAGAAGTACAAAGAAGGGAGAGATTGTTTTTGACTGTGTAACTGGGAAAGCTTCATAAGTGGTGGTGGCACCCCAGAAGAAATCTAAAGGAAGGAGAAATTTAAAGAGAGGAGAAAGAGGTAAAAGAGTAGGAGGAAGGATAATAGAGACAGAAGAAATCACCTTCAGGTTAGGTAATGTCCAGTTTAGTTCAAGCACAGGATGTGCTAGATTTCAGCATCCTGGGAGCCTTGGATGTTTTGTTAATGTAACTATTCTCGTGGCAGTGGAGAGCCTTGAAGATTTTTGAGCAAAATAATTAAATGATCACAATTCTTTCTCTGGAAGAGAACTTTAGTTGTGATACATAAAATGGATTGGGGATGGGGCTGGGGAATTAGAAACTGGAAAGGATAGTGATATTCTACAGGTAAATGGAAAGGAAGCTTGAAATAGGATTGCAACAACAATAGAGAAGAATTGACAAGTGAGAAAGATTGACAACACATGGCAACTGGCCAAATATGAAATGTGAGAGAAATGGGTCAATATTGTCCCTGAAATTTCATGCCTGGGTAAATTGAAAATGGTACAATTTATTGAAGTAGCACTAGAGAAGAGTCAGGGTTTTAACTTCATTTTGGACAGGCTTAACTGCAGATTAGACACAGCTGAGGAGAGAATTAGTGAACTAGAAAATAAAACTTAAGTCATTATTCAGAAGTCCACTTAGAGAGACAGAGTGGGAATATGAAAGAGAGTTAAGAAACAGAGAATAGTGAGAAGAGCAGACATATCTCTAATTAAAGTTCCTAAAGGAAGAGAGGAACGCAGATGGAGCAAAGGCAAGCAGACACTAAGAGCTCTTCAGTAGCAGAAATCTTAAAATGCTAATTTAGGCAGAAGGAAAGTGGGCACAGATAGAAGATCTAAATGGTAAGAATAGGCAAATCTCAACAAAAATTGTATAAAACAACAAAAATAATAATGATAATGTCTTATGCATTAAAAAAATAGAATTAAAGTATTTTCCAATAGTATAAGTCAGAAGAGGAGTAATGGAATTAAAGTGTTCTTAAAGATCTTTGTATAAAGGGAGTAAAGATCGATTAACCTCAGACTTTGACAAATTGAGTGTGTATGTTGTAATTTCTAAGTAACCAATAAAAGAACAAAAATAGAGTTTATAACTTTCAAATTAGTAGAAGGAAAAAAATGGAATGAGAAATAAAAATCAGTTCAAAAGAAGGCAAGATTAAAAGAAAAACAAATACCAAAAGCTGAAAAACTCAAATACCGAAATAGGAAGCACAAAATAAGTTAAAAATAAATTCAAATATATCAGTAATTACATAAATTAGAATGTAATCTAAATCTCTGGAAGTGACCAGATCATCATGGGAGAGTGAATAAAGAAGAGAACCAAGGAAAGAAAGACATGTTTTTTTCAAAAGAGAGGCACTTAAGTTATTCATCAGAATTTTTAAGATTCGTTGTTTTTTCTTGCCAATACCTTAAAGTAATTCAGTTTTGCCCTCTGCTGTTATTTAAAAAAAAAAAAAAGGCAGTCTCAGCTTGGTGCCATGGAAGTCAAATTAAACTGTTAGCTCATATTTTCTAAAAGCTTATGCTTAAGGAAAATGTGTGAGGTATTTTTAAGGCTTAACTAATTGGATAAATGCATAAACCTAATAAAATGCTAATCAGAGCAAAATGCAAGAGCATTTTAGGAGGGAAACTATTTTTTAAAAAGGTGCAAGAGAAGTCATGGATCTTCCTGTTTACTTATGGTAGAAATGGTTAAAAGTTACTCTATCTCTTTCCAGAATGAATGACGATTTCATGAAGTGTTAGTCTTGGCAAGGATTGAGGAAAGGGGGCAGTACAGATTTGGCAGAAGAATCATGTTGCTTGTATATTGAGAGTCCCTCTGAGAACAATGGTCCTCTCTTACTCTCTGGATTCTTTGTGCAGAGGAGAAAACTGGAAATCATTTAGCAAGCAGCTCAGAAGTGCCTAGAGGTGCACCAGGCAGTCCCAGAATGTGATGCTAGGAGCTAACTCCATTCTAAGAGTTGGGGCCTGGAGAAACTGTGGAAACAAAAGATAAAATCAGTGTGATAAGCACCACAGTGGGTGCCTATGACAAGTGCTGAGAAAGTGTGTGGGTGGAGAATATGTCATTAAGTCTCATCTTCTCCATTGGAGTGCTGATTTATCAACAGGTGTTAGGTATTTTTGTTACGAATTTTCCATAAGAAAGAAGAATAAGTGATCTTAATAACAGATTAGGAAAAAGCTTACCTGTGAAAATACGGTCATGCACATACCAAAAAATTTGTATAATGGTTTCATCCCTCAAGCCTTATACCCATTTGGGTAAATCTTGGAACGTTAATCTCACTCTGGCACACTAAAACTAATCAGGAGAGGTTCTCCCAGGTTTATATTTAGGAAAAAAACAATACAGTAGAAATAAAATACTAATGTCCGCTTGGAAGTGAGTTGCAAATATATCCCACAGCTGTCTCTCCAGTTACTAGTTACTTCATCCTCCCACCCCTCCCCAGTGCTCAGCTTAACTAACTTCAAGGGTGGCCACTTAAAGAAAATGAATAATCAAACTTGGCTGTACTTAGAAAAGCAAATGTTCTGGTAGTTAGTGGGTTATTTTTATGTACATATATACTTTTTAATTTTCGATTAATTTTAATATAATAAAATGTACTTAACTGCATTGGACATCTTTCCTTGATTGATTAGGAAAATCAAGCTTAGAGTTTAACTGAGGGACTTAGAGAAACTTATTTAGCTAATAAGTTTAGAACTGGGATTCAAACACAGAGATATCCACCTTTAAATTGTATAATTTTAGTCACTATAATTATCTTTTTATGTTTCTAGTATAAACATTGAGAAATATTAATGATTTGGGTGGACTGAATATTAGGTAACAGAGTTTTCCATATTTGAACTGAGTCACTGTTGCTAACAATTCATTTAGGCAGGAGGGTGAAGTAAACTTTCGAATTTATTCATTTGGCCAGTATAAGAAGGCTAAATTTGTGTTTATATTTTGAAAAAGGAAACTATTCTTAATGATTATTTTGATCCAATTTGAAAGATTTTTTAGCATAGCAAACTGAAGTGGTTAACTTGAATAAATAAATGTATATTTCTTAAATTGGAATAGTCAGGAAAATATTTAAAATTTTAATTATTTTTTCCTTGAAAAGGCAGAAGAAATTAGAAGTGGCCATGGAAGAAGAGGGATTAGCAGATGAAGAGGTAATGTAATTACCTGTAATTACTGTATAATAGCAAACCCAGTGACTTTTTCATTTATTGATATGAGATGGTTTTATAACCTAGATAATGTGGATTTCATTATTTGAATATGGATTTCTTCATTGCTATCATGAATATCTTTAGAAAGAGGCAGCTTTCATTTTTTTCATTCCAAGAACATATATTTAGTAAACATTATCTACAGTAGTCTAGGTATGTAGAACAAGAAAGTCAGGCTCCAGGAGGAATCAATTGCTAACTCTTCTCAAATTTTTTTCTAAATATTTTTTTTAAACCATCTACTTCTCTAGTTCAGTGCTACTAACCTAGTTTAAGCCACCTGTTATTTCACCTGAAGAATAACTGTCCCAAACTGGTCTCTCTACCTCCCACCCTCAGTTTTTCTGCACACTGCAGCCAGAGTGATCTGCCTAAAACCAGATTTGATCACGTCACTCTTTTGTTAATACCCTTCACTGGCTCCCGAGTGCTCTCGATAAGGGCACATCTTGAACGTTGGTATACAAGACCCTGTACCAGTTGGCCTCTGCTTCCCTCTCTGTAGCCTCATCTCTTGTCACCCCATCCTGCATGCTGACCGGTATTGAATTACTCAAATTTCCCCTCTCTTGCCTGTGGACCTTTTCACATGTAACCAGCATTTTTTTGCCATTTGGAACTCTTCCTTACTTCTGTCCAACTCCCATTACTCTTCAAGAAGCTTTAGGTCTCACTTTAGGTGTCATTTCCACTGGGAAATCTTCCCTAATCCCTCCAGGTACTTCTCCTGTGTACTTCTCATTATACTGCTCCTGCTCTTGTGGTAGCCTTAAAATACCATCTTCCCAGAGACTATAACTCCTTAACAACTTATTCAGCAGTACATCTTCAGAGCTGCCAGAGGGCTAAAATAATATTTGGTGAAGAAATGAACGATGGATCTTGCCCTCAAGGAGTTTACAGATTAGAAGGAGTGATTACATCTGTGTATATATGTATGTAAAAATGTATATATGATAGAATGTGGCAAACTTTGAAAATATAGAGATTTTTTTCCCCCCTAATTTAGGGGATCAGAAAAGGTTCCATTTAAGAGTAACAATTAATATGAATCTTAAAGAATGGGTGGAATTTCCATTAGAGATAAGGGTTGTATACAAAATAATGAATACATATACAGGATAATGAGTAATAACATTTGAGCTGTAAAGCGTACAATAAGGAAAATAGCAAGGTAAGTGGACAGCACACAGTGGCACACTAGGTTTGCAATAATTTACTAAGAAAGTATGCTTTATTTTCTAGGCAATAGGGAGTCACTAGATTAATCAGTTTAACAGTTTTCAGTAACCAGAAAAGAGTTTCTATTTTTAGAGTAGGTTGGCAAATGATGACTTAAAATCAATTTGTTATCTAATCTTACCTGCACCTCTCCTAGGGCTGTACCTGTATCTTTATAGTTGTAGTGTTTAAGCCAAATAACAAAATATTTTATGATTTATACTAAAGGTGGTTACTTTGTTAATCAGTTGACTCAATGTGGAAAACTCAAATATTTTTACATTTAAAATTATTTATTTACATAAATTACTATAAAGTATTTTTAAAGCTTATTTCATTTGTGTTCTTTAAATTTTAGTCAAAAGGTAATAATTTAAATCTGTATTCTTTTAGATCTGTGTACCAGCCATCAGCCAAAAAAAAAAAATCATCTATATTCCAATCTATAGAGACAAAATAAGACTGAGCACATCTTTTCTCATTTTTATTATTATATTATAACTTTCTTATAACTAATAACTATGTAATTATAATTGTATTAATGTACATTATACACATCACGTTGACACAGAAATCTTAAACATAAGATCTTCATTTGACATCTAGGGGAGAGATTACAAGAACAGACGCCCAAGGGCCAAGCAGGTAACATAAATGAGAGAAGCTGGCCAGGTCGGTTTCATGATGGCATCTAAGGTTATATTCTTTTGATCTAGACACATTTTGTTTGCATATTTAATTCAAGAATTTTTATTTTTGGGGGCCGGCCTGGTGGCGCACTGGATAGTGCGCCGCTTGGGAAGCGCGGCGGCGCTCCCGCCCGAGGGGTCGGATCCCACATACAGACCGGTTCCCGCTCACTGGCTGAGCGAGGCGCGGGAGCAACACCGAGGGTTGCAATCCCGTTGCTGGTCCCCGGTCCGGTACGGGGGCAACACTGAGGGTTGCGATCCTGGCGGACACGGAAAAAAAAAAAAAAAGAATTTTTATTTTGGGGGGCCGGCCTGGTGGCGCACTGGATAGTGCGCCGCTTGGGAAGCGCGGCGGCGCTCCCGCCCGAGGGGTCGGATCCCACATACAGACCGGTTCCCGCTCACTGGCTGAGCGAGGCGCGGGAGCAACACCGAGGGTTGCAATCCCGTTGCTGGTCCCCGGTCCGGTACGGGGGCAACACTGAGGGTTGCGATCCTGGCGGACACGGAAAAAGACAAAAAAAAAAAAAAAAGAATTTTTATTTTTTACTTCCACAAAGAAATAGGTTCTTATTTTTCCTTTTTCTAAAATATTTGATCCTCACAGTCTATCTATTGATAAGGACATACCATTTTTCACTTTATTCTAAGAAAACTAGAGCCCTAGCCCAATCAGACATGTCACCTGGTAGCTGGCATCAGTGGGGGAGACTGTGACAAATTAGGGAACTGATGCCTGTCTAAGGTGATTGCCACTTTTGGCCCAGTGTGGCCAAGTTCCTGTTTTTTAAGAGAAGCTGGAAATCTGAATTTTCATATGGAATCACCTGCTTTTTAAAATATTGGCAAGTAAATTAAAATGTTTTAAAAACAACTTGCATTCTAAATCAAATGCATATGTAGATTGAATATAGTTTGTAGCCTCCCGTTTGCACCTCTGGTCTGCACCAGCAAGTACTAACTACATTAAGAGCTATTTTCTTTAATTTTTTGAAATAACTTATAGAAAATGTGACAAGATTTTGCTCCTAAAAGTAGTCAATGGCCCAAATACCTATTTTTAAAATTTACACATTTTTTTCTGTAAGGATAGTTTTAGTTATTCAAATGCTTATTGTTAGGCCCCATGCCAGGTCCTGAATTATGTCAAATTCTATAAAATAGTCACACTCAACCTTAATATAAAATATGTTAAAACTATTTGTATGTGGGGTGGAATTTTTTTTAATTGCTTTATAAAAATAAAAATCTAGTTTTAAATGAAAACTAATACTCATCCTTAACTCTTCTATAATAGAAAATGATTTGTGAAATAATTAATGAAAATGAGTTGTGAAAACTTTAAACCGTATAATGTGGCCATATAAAGCTTATATACTGAGATGAAGTTGCTAGCTGAATCCTTTCATATCTCAAGACTTTTGTATGCACTGTCTTATACATAAACCGGGCACCCTGCAGATCGAGAGTTTGAGGAACACTCATTTAAAAAGGAATGAAGAAAGGAAGAAAGTTTCTAGTTCCATCTCACTTAAGAAAATCCCATGAAATATGGAATATTGTTTACTCTAATGGAAAACCAAAACAGGCAAGTTCAAGCTGCAAAAGAGCCATGAAATGCTAAGCCTGTCCAGATTTTTGTTGTTTTCTTTGGAGAAGAAAGGATGTGATCATCACAAAGAAGTTATTTGTCTTTCAAGGTTACTTAATCTACACAAGTCATGAACAGGTATATCAACATGCTTTTTCACTGATTTTTTAAAAATGTGAACTTGTTTTAGCTGCCTCTGGACTGCAGCACTGGTTTTAAGACTAAAATCATAAAGTAGATTTTTTAAAGGTAATGTAACAATGTCATAGGTAATTCCTATTTTTGTAGAATTGTGTGTTCCATACACATGTGATTCACCCTTTTTGCTATTAAATGACCATGCCCCAAACCACATAAACATTATTTACTTGCTGTATTATACAACCTATCCAATATTTAATGAACATTATTTTCTTTAGCTGACTCTCTCTTGTCTGTAGGTTTTGAGCAGTTTATGAAACTGTGTAGTAAGGTTATTGTTTCCACTGACTTTCTGCAAGTATACCACTACTTTGTTTTATAATCCATAAAGGGAGAGATTCAGAATATCTCAAAATTCTTACAATTGTTTATATCATTAAAAAAACAAAAAACGCTTTACTGCCTTGAAGGATGTGATATTAAAGTGCCACCAAGTGGCCTTTTTTATTATTACAGTCTTAAAATTAAAACAAACTACCTTTAAGAGTTATCTTTTGCTTTACTAGTAATCAGCTTTTTTTATTGTATTTAAAAGGTATTTTTGAAAACCTACTGTGTGTCAAAAAAGTGAATCTGGCATTGCATTTATGTAAAAAGAAGCAAAAAATAGTCTTCACTGTTGCTCTAGGATCCATCTTTGTTTTTGTAATTATATAAATGTAATCTTTTTTTTTTTTTTCCTTTTTGTCTTTTTTACTGACCGGTAACGGGATCGCAACCATCGGTGTTGCGCCCGCACCGCGCTCAGCCAGTGAGCGGGAACCGGTCTCCACATGGGATCCAAACCCTCGGTGGGAGCGCCACCGCACTCCCAAGCGGCGCACTCTCCAGTGCGCCACCGGGCCGGCCCTATAAATGTAATCTTAATGCATTAAACTGATATTTAAAAGAGAAAAATCACCCTCATCCAGTGATTAGGAAAATCTGTGTTTTAAACAACACTAGATCTAGATATCTTTTAGATAAATAGAGTAATGACTGTATCTTTATTACACTTACTTAAATTCTTTTCCTTTCTGACTTCTTACCGCCCCAAAATTCTTTTCCATGTTGTCTACTTACTTTATCCACAGTACCACTGTATTTTATAATTAATATTGGAAGTAGAAAAGCGTATTAAATCTGTATTTTAATTTGTGTACTTGACTTTTATCTTCATATGTCTTAATTAACACCACTGATGTGCCTGAGTGTGTAGTTTCTTTAGCTGTTTGAATTGAAGATGTAATTATGTAATTTCTTGCTCATTCTCTTAGCTTAATTTTGTTAGAAATGTCAGAATTCCATTGCATTGATACACATCTACATATTTCTTCTTTTTTTTTTTTCGTGTCTGGCAACGGACCGCAACCCTCAGTGTCGCGCCCGCACCGTACCGGGACCGGCAACGGGATCGCAACCCCCGGTGCCGCGCCCGCCCCTCGCTCAGCCAGTG